CAGTCTCATTTCCGCTTCTTTATCATATTCACAGACCAGTCTGTGCACAGCCAGAGCCCAGCTCTGTCTTCTTTCTAGAAAAGACTGGAGTCCTTGCATTTCTAATCTACCAACATGTGCGGTTCTTGCACTTTTAATTTATGAGTGTTTAGGGGGGACCTCTCTGACTTTGGAACATATTGGCTCGGTCTAATGCTTGGAGATTATTAAACTTGGAGCTATGCTCCACTATCAAGTCTACAGATCTTTTATTTAGAAGATATGGTGCTCTAAATGCACAAAGAGCTCCCTGTCACCTTCACATTAAAGCCCCTAGTGCCTGGTAAATGGAATTATATAGCTGTCATCTCCTTTCCCCAAAGTTTTAAGAGTACAATGGGCTCATTTTTTCACACTCCATCCCAGCTTCAGAACTAAGAGACCTACTTTGTATTGATTTAAGGTCTCAGAAATAAATAAACCTGCTTCACCACTGTGATTCACAACAAATTCATGATACACTATTGCATGATATATTTCAAGCTCTTGCTCTGGCTCTCTTTTTCCTCTGGTGAGTGATGGGGGAGGTGGGAGGTGGTAGGGAGCTGCAAAGCTGACAGCCTGATGGTTATTGGAGATGGTTGCTGACTGCAAATCCAAGAATAGACACTGTTGGAGGAGTATGGGATTTTTTTTTAAAACTAGGGGGCAGGGGTGAGAAGCTAATTTACTTGGGCTTCAGGCTGGGGTTGGAGGAAAAGAAAGGTTGAAGAGAGGAGAGGGGCTGACAGAGGAGCAAAGCTTCAAGTGAGCACTGATCTGCAAAGACAAAGCTATGAATACATGTAGAAAGAGAGAAAGGTGAATAAAATTCAACATATGAAGGTGTAACACACCACTGAATAGAAAATGAAGAAGACGAAGAAACCAATCTGTCAAAGGAACCGTGTGTACAGAGCTAAGTGGGCCCTTAGCTTGAGTTCAGGGACGATGTTTTATTAGAGACAGAGTGCAGAGACCCTACATGCCACCCAAAGTGTGAGGTAGAGGCATTTCTTCATTCTAATACTCAGGACACATCAGAACCCTGGAGGTGGAAATGGACAATGGATATAGGGTAGAGATATAATGAAGGTCCACATGGATGAAGTGAGCCAGAGACTGTTCACTGAAGCAAGAGGGTACTACATTCTAGCAGTTTAGCTTGTGTTTGTGTACCCTTAGGGTTTGAGTACCTACGTCTACATCACCTTTACTGATTCCACCAAACCTTGGACCCAATGAGTTTTAGCTGGTATCTACAAATACAGCAGTCAAAAAGAACTATCCTCCAACCTTCTATCAGGATCTTGACTTTCAACAAGGCAGGGGAGGAGAAAGCAGGAGATAATCAGGCTCCGAAGGTACTGCATGACACTGCAGGAGACCCCTAAGGTTCTAAGGAGTACTTTCAAGTGGAATTAAGTTTTAACTGTTTCCCTTGTTTCTTCTACTTATTTCACATTTTTGACTGGCAAAGTTATTTATGAATCCAATTTCTTTTCTATGTTGGAATAGCATTTTCATCTTCACTACATTTGTTCTTGAGACAAGACCAGACTCTGAACACAAAAGTACATGAGAAAGATTTTGGTTCCATTCAATTTCCAGTTGGTCATATAAAACTGGGCATTTCTTTGTTAAATTTGAACTCTACCTTTAAAGAGTGATCTGTCTCTGTGTACAGGGAAACAGACTTTAGCCAAATAGAAAAAAGAACTCACAGATGAATACATAGATGAATGGGATTGGTTCCAAAAGTACTGAGCTCCCATTCAGCTGAATTTTTCACACATAATTGGGTGAATATTTAGCAATGGTGTCACAGAGGAAACTCAAGCAACAATTGTGTGGTTGAACTTTTGAGGATCCTCCCACTCTCAAGATTTATAATTCTACAGACACTCGTGATTGTGAACAACATATAGTGTTTACTTTTCTGTGATCTGGACAAGAAACAAAATTTAAAAACTTTTAAATCATTATGCTCTCCAACTTCCATTCCTGGTCGCATGAGTATGTAATAATTTTACATATCACTAATATGTAATTTAATACATAATACTCTAATATGCAATAACTTTTAAAATTCCCCACTCCCTATCTATTCACTCCCCAGCCTAAAACAGTTCCCTGGCTACAGATCAATATGCATCTTTATAACATCACAGAATACTAGACATTGAAGAGAATTTAAGATTAAGAGACCCTCCAGTCTTCTACTTAAAAAAAAAACAACAAAAAACAGGCTTAATTCATTTTATTTGTCTTATGTAAAAACTGTGTTGTAGCCACAGTTGGAGCCTGGGTCCCCTGCATGGAGACTCTGGTGTGGGTCTTTATGAGGTGGTCAGCAAATTCCTGACAGGAAGACTTGATGAATACAGTCCCCTTCCAGAGGTTAGGGGTCAGGTAGCTGTAGGTTTTAGAGATGGCATCAAAGGTGACCTTGGGAAAGTTCCCTAGGGTGGCAGTGTAGCCCCTGGCTGAGGTGTAGCAGTCATCAATACCAGCCATCATTGGCAGCTTCTTGGGCACCAGGGCCGAGACAATGCCAGTGTCCTGGGCGCGAGGATGAGGCGCACCAGCACAGAGCCACAGCCACCTGTCACCTTGCAAGGGATGGTGTGGGGCTTCTTCTCCCAGTAGCCTCTGTGCATGGGGACAATGAAGAGCTTGGCCAGGATGATGGCCCCATGGATGGCAGTGGCCACCTCCTTGGAGTACTTAACACCCAGACCAATATGGCCATTGTAGTCCCTGATGGCAACAAACATCTTGAACCTGGTGCGCTGGCAAGCGTGGGTTTGCTTCTGCACTGGCATAATCTTTAAAACCTCATCCTTGAGAGAGGCCCCCAGGAAAAAGTCAATGATCTCAGACTCCTTGATGGGCAGGGAGAAGAGATAGATCTCCTCCAGGGACTTGATCTTCATGTCCTTGACCAGGCAGCCCAACTTGGTCACAGGCATCCATTCCTTGTCCTGGGCCTTGCCTCCATGAGCTCTGTGGGGGCCAGGCCCTGTTCACAGACACAGTCCCAGCCCTGGATGCCACTGCCAAAGGTTCCACGGTTCCCCATCTCAGGCACCCCCATACCTGGCTAATTTTTTAATTATTTTGTAGAGGGGGTCTTGCTTCTTGCTATATTGCCCAGGCTGGTCTTGAACTCCTGGCCTTAAGCCATCCTCCTTTCTTGGCCTCCCAAAGTGCTGGTATTACAGGATTACCACACCAACCAGATTTTCTACTTTAAAATGGGAAATGTATTATGCCTTCCATTTCACAAAGAGGAAACTAACATCTAAATAGATTAAAGCCCAAAGTTGCTTACCTAGTAAATGGCAGGGAGAATAATGATCAAAAGTTTTTGTTGTTGTTGTTTGTTTGTTTTTTTCTGAGATGGAGTTTTGCTGTTTTTGCCCAGGCTGGAGTGCAATGGTGCAATCTTGGCTCACTGCCACCTCTGCCTCCCAGATTCAAGTGATTCTCCTGCCTTAGCCTCCCGAGTAGCTGGGATTACAGGTGTGTGCCACCATGCCTGGCTAATTTTGTATTTTTAGTAGAGACAGGGTTTCACCATGTTGGCCAGGCTGGTCTCATACCACTGACCTCAGGTGATCCGTCTGCCTCTGTCTCCCAAAGTGCTGGGATTACAGGCATGAGCCACCATGCCTGGCAGTTTTTTTTTTTTTTTTTTTAAATCTAAAGGTTCTGTAACTTCAGAAAGTTTGAGCACATTCATAATAGGTTGTCAAACATGATAATTCCTGAGTCTGCATTCAATGCCCCAAACAGGATCTCAGAGCTTTCACTGTATCCAGAAGCTCTGGACTGGTACTTGCTGTAGGGTCTCCCAAATTCTTAGACTCTAAGCCACCATACATGCATGGGCTCTCTCAGAGTCAGAGGCAACTTCTGTAGTGGAGGTCTGTGTGGCGATTCCACCCTGTAAGATCTCCAAACCAGAGCACTCAGCATTGCTGGCAGGTCACTAAGGCACACTAATAGAGTCAAACATAACCAGGTATAGTTTTCTATCAAATTTGAGGGGTATCGAATGAAAAACAAACAAAACAATCCCCCTAAATGGGGCCAGATTTACCAATATTTTATGTGTGGGGAGGGAGCGCTTGAATATTAGGGAGATCTGTCCATTGAGCAATACTTTCTGAGGACTCATTCATAATGCTAAAGCAAGGATTACTCAGAAAGGAAGTTAAAATGCCCTCTTTAGAAAGGAGAGTGATCCCATCTGGAGCTATGGGAGTACAGGGACTGTCTATTGTGAAAATAGGTAGTTAGGGACTTTTAAAAATGCAAATTGCTAGACTGATCCTTAGAGTGATTATGAGCTATTGTATCAACAAGTCCTTGGGGACTCTTGTAGACAGATGACTGACATATATACTACCCTGTCATGACCGAACATCGTGCCTCTCACGTTAATGGCTTTCCAAAGAGCATTGATTGTCGTTAGATACATCTATTGGGAAAGTCAATACATGAATGTACTGCCAAGTGAGGACTGTCATCTAACATTTTCTTGAAGGAATTTTTGCCTTCAAAGAATCAGAAAGTATAGAGAATAATGTGTTTGTATTTCCTTTCCAGAACCGGATAAGAAATTGCAATGAGAGGAACCCTAAATGCACCTTAGAGAAGACTATGGCAGTGCCAATGTTTTACCTATTTTGGCTCATTTAATTCTCACGACGACTCTGGTACATAGATACTATTATTATCCCCTCTTTTACAGTTAATAAAACTGTAACCCAGAGAGGTTAAATAAATTGCCCGAGGTCACACAACTAGTAGGTGGCGGAGCCAAGAATTAAACCTAGGCAGCCTGGCTCTAGCCTCCCCATGCTCATAACATCTTTTTTTTTTTTTAAACTAATTTTTTTAAAAATGTATTTACTTAGAAGCATTCAGAATGCCAACAAAACAGCTGCAACCTTTTTTTTTTTTTTTTTTTTTTTTTGCAATTACAGAGTGGTATTCAGTTAACAGAACAATTGTTTCATATAAGCTGCATCAGAGACAATTGAAAATGAAAAAAACTACTCTCCCCATATATAACTTACTTGTGCTGTACACCAATGAGAACCTGCTTTAAATTTTTATGCCAATTTACAACCCCTATACTATACCAGGCAAGGTTAGTGGCTATGAAAATACCACCAGGACAGGGCTATCTAAAGACACATTTGGTAGTGTGTTAACTATACAAAAGAAGACACCATACAGTTTTAAAAAATTCTTACACAGCCTTACATTTCAATTTTTTTCTTTAAAAGGAGTGAGTTGTATACAGGGGGGTTAAATGCTTTATAGACATGAAAAAATCTGTGCTAGAAGCAACTTATTCATCATCATCATCTTCTTCATCTTCCTCCTCCTCATCCTCTTCATCTTCCTTCTTTTTCTTGCTTTTTCAGCCGTGACAACTCCCTTTTTTGCTGCATCAGGCTTTCCTTTAGCTCAATATGTAGCAGTATCCTTTTCGTATTTTTCCTTCAGCTTCGCAGGCTTCTTTTCATAAGGCTGCTTGTCATCTGCAGCAGTGTTATTCCACATCTCTCCCAGTTTCTTCGCAATATCACCAATGGACAGGCCAGGATGTTCTCCTTTGATTTTTGGGTGATACTCAGAATACAACAGGAAGAAGGCCAAAGGAGACCTCTTGGGTGCATTGGAATCCTTGAACTTCTTTTTTGTCTCCCCTTCAGGAGGGATATAGGTTTTCATTTCTCTTTCGTAATGGATCTTGTCTGCCTTTGCCATATCTTCAAATTTTCCCTTCTGTTTAGCAGACATGGTCTTCCACCTCTCTGAGCACTTCTTAGAAAACTGAGAAGTTGACTGAAGCATCTGGATGCTTCTTCTTATGCTCCTCCCAACAAGTTTGCATAAAAAATGCGTATGACAACATCTTGCCTCTAGGCTTCTGAGGATCTCCTTTGCCCATGTTTAGTTATTTTTCCTCAGCAAGGCACAGAGTCGCCCAGTGCCCTTCTGGCTCTCACTTGTCCCGGCGCTGTCTCTATCATAACCTCTTTAAGTTATGTGAAAGTTACAACGTTGCCCGCCCCACAGTGAGAGCTAAGTAATCTCTCCTTCCCTTCTTGAGCGTCCATGACTTTCACGTTGTATGTCACAGAGTCATGGGTGAGCATGGAGACTGTACAGTGCAGGTTCCTGGTGTAACAGACAATTCCCACTCATGAGAGGAACTCTGGTACTGTGCCCAACAGAGTCAGCTATGACAACTTCACATTTCATACTGCATAGCTGCAGAAAAATACGTATATGAGAACCAGAGAGAAATGTAACTTACTTGCACCAAGTCTCAAAAGCAAGATTAGCAGAATTAGCCCCCTACCAAACTAACGGCCCTAGTCATACCCATCACATAATTTCTTTTTTCTTGCAGATTCAGTGAAAATAGGGCCCTGATCTCGCTAAGGGAGATGAGAGTATAGGATATTTTTTTCTAAAACAGAAGCAGAGCTTTAAAATACAAGAAAGTCACATATCATCTCCTGATGAATCTATCACTGCCTTTGGCATATGCCTTACCTTCACAGGCAGTTAATGTCCAGAGGACAACCATAAACTGCATATTCTTATTTCTCTGGATACAGAATGTGCTCTCTATCCCCAAGTCTGGGGCAATGGATTGAGAGCTAGTAGGCTCCAGTATACATCAGTGTTCCTTTACAATACTAGTTCTTCCAGCTTATCTGTCACCTAACACTATGTTAAACATACTAATACTTTTAACAGGAAAGGGAGGAAAAAAAAATAAAAAGGAAACTGAAAGGAAGAGTGGTGGGGGGGGGGGAAGTGAGTATGATTATCTCTGCAAATGTCCAGTGGCACACAGACTTAAGAGTTTATGACTCTGCAATCATCTCAGCTCCTTAAGGGTATATCTTTACCAGTTCCCCAAGTACACAGGTTACTGCCTTTGCCAGGACAGCATGACTCCCTTCAAGCAGGGTAATCTGCCACGCACATCAGGTCTGCCACGCAGTGAGGCATTTTAAGGAATCTGTCACCCACAGCCTACAATTCCGAGAGTTAGGATCTGCTACCTTGAGCGACATGAAATAGCAAGCCCCTAGAAACTTCTCTTCTTAATGTCATCATTCTCACGACATTTGGACAAACAGGAAAACAACCAGACCACCTTCTTTTAGGCTTTACAGACCACTAAGCAAAGAGGCCTGAGCTTTCTTCAATGAAACTTAGGGACATGAAAGTTCATGTTCTGACCCTGATCTAGTCTCTGTCAATGAAACTAAGTCACTTTCCTTTCTATTGGTTTTGTCTTCCTGTCTACGAAATATAGCCCTGATACCATTAACCCATTCCAGAAGATAGCAAGGAACCAGACAGATATTCTTGATTGAATTTCAAGTAAACCCCCTTGGGCTGCTTCTGATCACCAGCCTACTGCCTTTAGTTCTAATGTCAAATGTCAATAAAATCCAGATACTACATCTCTTCTCAATTTGGGTAATATTTTGAATATTTTACAAATAACTGCAGGCAACAAAGCAAGATAGACATGGAAAGAAGATATACAAATAGTGAGTTCACAGGGGGAAAAGGATAAAAATACAAAGGTGGGAAGCACTTCCTGGTTTTGGAATAAAAGACACAGTGGCAAAGGATGGCGTCCATGAATAAAACATGTAAGTATACAGAAAAACCACCAAAAGTAAAAAAACAGGAAAACACCAGAAAATATTTATTTTATATGAAGGTTACTACTGTTGGCTATAAAAAGAAATCCTTTAAAAAGTAAGAGTCTTTGGAAGCAAAAGATAGGAAGGTGTAAACTAATTAAAAACAGGCTAGCGACAGGCAACATCATGTGTATGCCGAGATGGAGTATAGCTATAAAAGCCTGGCGCACACATGCAGTGTATTAGGTTGAAAATGCATGTCTCTTCAGCTTCATATCTATTAAAGGAACAAACAATTTACAGGTTGCTGCATTATGGGAGTATGATATGTGGAGTGTCAATCTTTTCTCTTCAAACTGAAGCATGTTAAGTAAAATCAATGATGGGGTTTGGGGAGTAGGGGAAGAAAGGGGAAAAGCAGGGAGAAAGTAAGTTTTTAAAAATCTCTGCCTCAGCAAAAGTTTTCATTACAATTTTAGACAAATGATCCCTGTGTCCTTCTCCCTTGCTGCCTGGGGCTCCATGCTATTTCTATGCAAATAACAACCTCGTGGTTTATATCTTATTATTTCCACCGGAGCTGCAGCGACATGACCTGAGACATGTAAGAGGTGGGGGTGGGGGGGGGGGCAGAGGGGGGGAGTTGGAGAGTAAACAGAAAGAGAGAGAGAGAGTGGGAGGGGGAGGGGGACAGAGGTAGAGAGAGAGAGAGAGAGGGTGTTCACTCAAGTGTGAAAAAATATTGTCAGGAGTGAGCATCAAGAACAAAAAAAAAAAAATTGCAGGGATAACGTGTTTATTTCAGTCCCCCCTAAAACCCCCCAAACCCCCCTTCCTGCAAACCAGCACCTTTTAAAATTCATTGGGCATCAGGCGATCATGCACAATCCATCTGCTTTCACTTTATCATTTGCATTTCATGCCTCCTGGCTTTTGATGTGCTGATACTTTGATGCAGTCAGGAGACGCGCATTATCATTATTTCAATTTTCAAAGGGGTCAACGGGATCGGCACTTGCACACACAAGATTTTTTCCCCCTACAACCTCTGAACACCCCCACTCCTTATTCTTCACCCCAATGTTTAACATAAAGGATGAAGACTCAAAAAGGTGGGGGTCAAATATTTACAATCTAAGACTGTATATAGGCTTGCATATGTCTCCTACATTTCCACTTTACACAGGTACATACTATGAGCACCAAGGCTTAAGAAAGGAGGCTCTACAATGTTTCAAATACACAAAGACTTTCTCACATATGGACACTCAGGGAGGCACACAGACAGAGAAAGAGGGGGATCCATATGCAGGACACAGACACAAAGAGACAGAAAGATCAGCACCCACACGGAAAGAGACATGCACTCAGGGTGACTTGCACACACCCAGAGTACACAATACAGAGAGATACCTACAGAAAGAAAGGCAAACAGAGATGAAGAAAGACACCAGCACACACAAAGGCAACACGCACAAGGAGTGAGTCAGAGGAAGCCATCTGAGCATGGTAGTTTCCTTTTTCATACCTGATAGGCAAAGGGGCTGATAGGACATTCTGAATGAATTTGCATGAAATCGGGTGTCTTCAGCAGCACAGCTGTATACTTAAGAGGAGCTGACATGAAGATAGTGAAGCAGGCAGAGCAACATTAGGTAACCTCTGTATCTGATCACTCCCTTCAGCTAACAACAATCATGTCCTTTTAGAAGTGAGCGTTGTTTGGTAAGTTAAAGCTATAGCTTTATTTGTCTTTCACCCTGTAACTAAGCTTTTCTTTTAACAAGCAGCCCTGTAAGCTATGAAGGTGAATATAATGAATTTGATTAGAACAATTCAGTCAGATTTTAAGAAATCAATCTCTAATGTCTCTTCATGGCACAAATGAAATTCAACTAGCAAGTTTTCAAGCAAAACAAAACCAAAAACCCAACATCTGCTTTTTGTAATATTCTTTGTATATAATATAGTATCAGGGAAGGGGGGAGAAAGAAACTCAATATAAGAAGATACATTTCAGAAATTAGCTCTCTGACTGGGTATGGGAACATCATGGAAATATAGGTTTTTTAAGTACCATTATCTATGAGAACAGAATTTTTAAAATCTTTCAAACATTCTGTTCTCATAGATAATGGTACCTAAAATTATCTTCAGCATTCATCAATATCTCATCCTAAGAAGGTATCCAAAAGAGCAACTTAAAAAAAAACAACCTTAAGACTCTCAGCAGTTTCTCCCACTGCAATAATAATCTTTAATAGTAGTGGTTCATAACCTTTATTTCCAGGCTACTCTCCAAAAAGGGAGGAAGACAGCCAAGTTCGCCACTGTTAGCACTGCTGTGCCTTTCCTTGGTGAGAAAAAGCAAGCCCAGAGGAGGATACAGAGTTTATATGAATGCAGAGAGCAAGCTGATCACATCAAATGATTCCTCTAATTTCTGACATCCACAAAATCTAATTAAACCAATGGAATTTTCAACTTTTTCCTAAATGGGAATGATAGAACACTTAATTCTTATCTTTACACTTGAAAGTCAAGACTTGATAAAAAGTTCCCGCAAGTAGAGCAAATGTAATATCCGATACAATTTAGTACGTGTATTAACTCCATAAGCTCAATCACCAAATCATGTTAGAGAGAGGAACGGGAAACTGAAATTTTAGCTCAATCACCAAATCATGTTAGAGAGAGGAACGGAAATTGAAATTTTAATGCGGGCCAACACTTTTCACCAAGAACTAGGTACTTTTTTTTTTTTTTTTTTTTAAAGAGATGGGGTCTTACTGTGTTGTCCAGGCTGGATTCAAACTCCTGGGTTCAACCTCTCCTCCTGCTTCAGCCTCCTGAGTAGCTGGGAATCTAGGCATGTCCAGTAGAACTCGGTACTTTTACTTATGTTTTCTCATTTGAGCTCCACATTATTTAAAGGTTTAAATTATTATCCCCCTTTGACAGATAAGAAAGCTGAGGAGTTGAGAGGTTATATAAGTTGCACAAGGGCAGTCAGCCTCAGACTATTCCATTACATTTTTCTGGCCCTGAGGAGAAAATAATTTTCCTATGCTTGCAAAGGTGTCAGAACTGCACTGTCCTTTATATATTCAGGTATTCTTAGATAGTTTTCACTCTTACGAACAGTGACTGCAACCATCCATTTTTCCCCCCTTGGAAAAGCCCTTGTAAAGTTGGATTTAAAAAGTACAAACCTTTCTTTGGAAGGGAAGATAAATCTTTATGCATACTCTTTTCCAGTAATCCATCCATGCATCCATTCACCCATCTTCCCACTCAATATTTGCCAAATATTTCTTCTATATACAAGAGACCACCATCGGTGCCCTTATCGAGAGGTGTATTTACAGATTTCACAAAATCATTAAAACTTGATAGTCTCAACACCTAGGCCAGTACCTAATTCATAATGTAGGTCTGAAATGGGAACTAGCACAGCTGGAATCAGAGACAGCTCAATGTCTGAGTACAGATCTCCTCACATCTTTTACTAGTAGATTAAGAAAAAGAGAGGAGAGGAGGGACAGAACAGAAGCGTTCAATTAATTCTGTCTTTCCACAATGACACTGAAACGTTAAGTGCTTTGGAGCAGTGGTTTTATATAGTTTGTTCACTAACATATACACAGGGCTTGGAACAGTGCCTAGAAAACAGTAAGTACTCAAAATAGTTGAGAAATGAAATAAATGAATGAATGAATAAAAAGGCAAGCAAGTCAATGGGCAGAAAAGATGGAGGGAGAGGGGAAGAGATAGACTGAGGAAGGCATGGATTGAACTGCTTCTTTCCAATCAGGATCTTGAATTAAGAATTCACAAAATAATCTTCAATCAGCTATGTAAACTTCTTCAAAACCCTAAAAACTTACTTTGTTGAGGGCTCCAGCTCCTGTTAGAATTAAGTGAGAATTCTCAACCTGGATGGTTCTCTGTCCCAGCCGGACAAGGTAAGCCCCAATCCCAATGGCCCGGCACGTCACCTTAAAAAATAAATTCTACATGTCACATATTTATGTCCTCTCTGAAGCTGTAAGAACTAAGGCATAGATAAGTAAAATCCAAATTAACAGAAATAAACATTGCTTTTTATGAAGTCTGTTTGATAACAACACACACAAAAAAATTTCATGGTCAAAGAAAAGAAAATACAATGATGCAAAATTCAGGCTGCGTGCAAGGACTCATGCCTATCATCCTAGCACTTTGGGAATCTGAGGTGGGCGGATCGCTTGAGCCCAGGAGTTCAAGACCACCTTGGGGCTGGGCGAGGAAGCTCACACCTGTAATCCTGGCACTTTGGAAGTCTGAGGCGGATGAATTACTTGAGGTCAGGAGTTTGAGACCAGCCTGGCCAACAAGGTGAAACCCTGCCTCTAGTAAAAATACAAAAATTATCTGGGCATCGTGGCACGTGCCTATAATCCCAGCTACTCGGGAGGCCAAGGCAGGAAAACCACTTGAACCCGGCAGGTAGAGGTTGCAGTGAGCTGAGATCACGCCACTGCACTCTAGCCTGGGCAACAGACTGAGACTCTGTCTCAAAAAAAAAAAGACCAACTTGGGCAAAATAGCGAGACCCCCATCACTACAAAAAATTTAAAAATTAGCTGGAGGTGGTGGCACATGCCTGTAGTCCTAGCTACCTGGAAGCTGAGGTAGGAGGATCACTTCAGCCCAGGGGGTAGAGGCTGCAGTGAGCTATGATTGCACCACTGTACTCTTGCTTGGGTGATAGAGTAAGACCCTGTCTCTTAGAAAAAAGAAAGAGCGGCTGGGTATGGTGGCTCGCTTGTACTCCCAGCACTTTTGGAAGCCGAGGCGGGTGGATCATGAGGTCAAGAGATTGAGACCATCCTGGCCAACATGGTGAAACCCCGTCTCTATTAAAAATACGAAAATTAGCTGGGCGTGGTGGCACGCGCCTGTAGTTCCAGCTACTCAGGAGGCTGAGGCAGGAAAATTGCTTGAACGCGGGAGGCGGAGGTTGCAGTGAGCTGAGATCACGCCATTGCACTCCAGCCTGGTGACAGGGCAAGACTCTGTCTCAAAAAAAAAAAAAAAAAAAAAAAAGAAAAAGAGAAGAAAGGAAGAAAATAAAAAGAAGTTAAACTAAAAGCTAAAACAAAGTACTGGGTTTATTTGAAAAATTCAGTTATTTATATTATCCTATCTTCCTATTATCATGTGTAATTAAAATAAAATTGTAGACACACAATCTTCAAGAATCATTTGGGACAGAACAGCAGTGATAAGAGAAAAAATAAACCTAGCTACACAGCCAACTCTTCAAAAATTTCACATTCTGGAAAGATTTACCAGGCTGATGGTAATGATCTCATTATAGGCCAATGAGGATTCTCCAGCAATCATTCCAGAACCTCGAAGGTTCTCAGGTCCAATTCCCTCTTCTTTCCCAATAATATCTGTTATCTTGTACCTATTGGATATGGCCATGTCAAATTACGAAGGTTAAACACAGTAACAACAAGCCATTAAAATAATAATCACCATTAAAAGTCTGCTAAAAGTGCATTGAAAGCTTATATTTAATACCAAGGCTTTATGTGCTTCCTTTTATACTCTTCATTTATATGTATTTCCTTCTTAGCTTGGGCCTATTTTACCTGGAAGCAATATGGCTTAATAGGAAGAGCAAAATCTGGAATTAAGCAGATAGACTTTTTTTTTTTTGAGACGGAGTCTCGCTCTATTGGCAGGCTGGAGGGCAGTGGCATGATCTCGGCTCACTGCAATCTCCGTCTCCCGGATTCAAGCAATTCTCCTGCCTCAGCCTCCCGAGTAGCTGGGAATACAGGTGCGTGCCACCATGCCCAGCTAATTTTTGTATTTTTAGTAGAGACAGGGTTTCACCATGTTGGCCAGGATGGTCTCAATCTCTTGACCTTGTGATCCGCCCGCCTCGGCCTCCCAAAGTGCTGGGATTATAGGCGTGAGCCACCACGCCCAGCCAAGCAGAGAGATTTAAATCCTTGCTCTGATACACGCAGGAGTGTGACTCTAAAGATAATAATAACTTCTACAAAATGAGAATAATAATATCTACCTCTAAGGGTTGACAAGAAAGTTAAATTAAAGCAAACAAGGAGAAGGTTTGACGTTATAGATGGCCCTCAGATTTTAGATGCCTTCGCTTATTTTCTAGAACAAATTTTTTAAAAGCAAGGTCAATGTATATCTCTGTAATGAGCAACAGGCATCATATGAACAATTTTAGACAATTTTACATAGGAAGAGAATATCCAAACAGAGCGGTAGGGAGAATGAATGCTCAGCTTAGTTTCTCAAGTCAAAAATCCTCTTCTAAGGTGGGATGAAACGAAGGTCAAAATACTGAACTCTCATTCCTGCTCCTTCATAAATATCAAATATATACACAAGCGTCCCTGGATATGTCCTCTGGAGGGGCAGGTGGAATGTGTGTAGAAGTGAAATGCTGACCAAGTTGTCCAGAAAGCATCCTGTGGATCTAGTGGAAGTCACTCATCTGTCTTCCTGGCAGGGGATTAGGAGTGATAGCTGATAATGGGAAATGGGAGATGGGGAATGTAACTGATAAAAGAAAGGAAAAATACAAAGTTGAAAGTAGAGATGGGCATATATTATTTATTGTTCCACCTATACCCAGAAGGCTTGGCAGTGGGCACAGTTTTATAAATTGAAATAATAAATAAGTACCCCATAGTGGCTCTTAAAATACTTCCTCCTGGCCCCATATTTTCCTGCTCCCTTCTTCATTTCCAGCCCTCCATCAATTCTTTTTCTTTGCCCTTGCTGTTGATCTGTGACTTTGCATCTCTGCTTCCCAGATTCTGCTGTCTTTCTATTTTTAGCCTCTCCTAATATCCAATAATTTCCCAGTTCTTCCTTTTGTTCTGTATCTAGACTCTGTCCTAAAGTTATATCAGAAATGAAGCTACTGTCCCTTAAGGGGGTTAATTAACTACATTAATCTTATATGTGTGTGTGTGTGTGTGCCTGCTCGTATAAGGTCCATATAGTCGTAAATATTCAAGGACCCAGCCAGATTTGCCTGTAACAAACTCAATATTCATAGATTCCAGAAATGAAGAGTTAAAAAACATCATAGGGGAAAAATCCCATTCAGAGTAGCAAGAAAAAATGCAAACTATTTAGAAATAAGCATGAAGAAATTGGCAGAATCTCACCATAACCATGTTGTGCCCCAAGGCACCATGATGAACTCCCAGAAGCATTACAAGATATTTTAAATTTTTGGGAGAAGCACTATTATATGTGATATCTGTGACCCTATGTGAACTACTAGCTTTAGATAGTTCAGAGTAGTTCACAGTTTGTTAGAATAGTGCTACATTCCTTTTGAAAATGTCCTGTCTTTGCAAAGCTAGATTTTTGAAGTTTCTGTGAAAACTCAATGAAGAACAAGAAATGTGGGTGGCTATATCCAAGCTGATTCCAAGGTTTGAGATGTTATGCTGACACAAATATCTCATTAGTAAGTAACTGTAATTATTTAAGAATAAATTTTTTCAATTTACATATATAATTTTTTCAAATGATTATTAAGTTATTAGGACACAAATACTTATTGTTTAACTACCTAATAAGCAGAAATATTAAGTGTATCTTATACTCTAGGGGTGCTATGAAAAAATTACTGAGACACTAAGGATGCGATGAACCAAGAAAGTTTGGGAACCTCTGGCAAAACCTATATGAAGAAAACTACAAAACGTAAAAACAAAACAAAACAAAAAAACCACTCATACAAATGGAAAAACATACCATGTTTCTTTTTGGGGAAAGTTAGTATTATGAAGATGTCAGTTCTTAAATTAATGTGTAAACTCAATGCAATCTGAATCAAAATCATTATGAAAACTTTTTTGGAATTAGAAAAACATGAGCCTCAAGCCAAACACAGTGGCTTGCACCTGTAATCCCAGCTACTTGAGAGGTTGAGGTGGGAGGATTGAGGTCAGGAGTTCGAGACCAGCCTGGGGAATGTAGCAATATTCTATCTCGGAACAAAAAAAAAAAAATTAGCTGGGCGTGACGGCGCCTGTCTATAGTCCCAGTTGCTTGGGAGGCTGACATGGGACAATCTCTTAAGCTCAGGAGTTTGAGGGTTCAGTGACCTATGATCACACCACTGCATCCCAGCCTGGGCAACAGAGTGAAACCCTGTCTCTAAAAACAAAAAACAAAAACCCTCTACATTAAAAAAAAAAGCAAAAGTAGCCAATAATACTTGAGGAAAAATTTAAAATGTGAGAAAATTTGTCCCACTAGAATAGTTTAAATAGTGTGGTATTAGCCCAAGAGTAGACAGAACAAAAAAACACCAAAAAATAAATTTTCAGTAAATAGTATTAGGGCAATGAACTTTTTTTTCTTTTTTTTTCTTTTTTTGAGATGGAGTCTTGCTCTGTCACCCAGGCTGGAGTGCAGTGGTGTCATCTCAGCTCACTGCAACCTCCACCTCCTGGGTTCAAGCAATTCTTCTGCCTCAGCCTCCCAAGTAGCTGGGACTACAGGCATGCATCACCAGGCCTGGCTAATTTGTGTATTTTTAGTAGAGATAAGGCTTCTCCATGTTGGCCAGGCTGGTCTCGCACTCCTGACCTCAGGCTATCTGCCTGCCTCAGCCTCCCAAAGTGCTGGGATTACAGGCCTGAAACTCCACACCTGGCCGAGCAATTAACATTCTTAAAAATACTTGCAGATAGATTATATGAAAATGTTCAACTTCACTGGGAGTCAAAAATACAAGTTAAAATAACAATTGCCGTTTTTATTCCATTTTATTATTTGACAATAATCAATGTTGGCAGGGGTGAAGAAAAATTAAAGAGGGAAACAAATCCTATTCTATACTGCTGACAGGAATGCAAATCTTGGGAAGGCAATTTAAAATTATTTTTTAAAACCCTTTAAAATTGACTTTTTGACCTGTAATTTCACTTCTAGAAATCAAGCAAAAAGGGATGATCAGAGCTTTTAATTCCTAAAAGTTTATGTGAAATTTATATAAATATCCCTTAAGGGGGTTCAGCCCAGGGATGTGAAAAATTAGAAATAGTCTGAATGTTCAAATATATTTATTATAATAAAATACTATGTAGCCATTAAGCATCCTATTCTTAAATAATGTTTTAAGAATACAGGAAATTTTCCCAAAAATAGTTTTTAGTGAAAAGGATAAATTATAAAAGAAATTCTTGTTATAATCTCAATCACATAGAAAAAAGATAAGTCTACAGAAAAGACAGCAAGAGTATAACATAAATTCATAATTGTGGCCTGAAGGTAGGATTGTGGCTAATTTTTATTTTTTTCTTCATAATTGTTTACATGTTTCAGTTTTTCTAAAATGACTTAAGTATTATAAATGTCAAAACTTCAATCAATAATAAGGTTCTTCAGCTAATAAGTGGTAGAGCTGGATATAAACCTAAGACATCTAGATTATGTTATCTTCAGTGTCCTTCAAGGTTATGAATAGCCGTACAATAAGGAAAAAAATACCATATTCTCCTTTCTTTAGTCATGACCAAATTATTCCAATACATATATACCTACCTGGATTCTCCTTCATCCTCCACGTGTTCACAATGGACAGAGTTGAGAGCACTGACTCTCTTATAATCTTGAGGGGTCAGATATAAATACCTGTATCCCTGTGAAGCACAAATAGTTTTTAACTCATTATTTGCCATTGTCATATAACCAGAAGATACAGCAAAGCATACATAATGAAGCTTGTTCCACAGCTAGCTTTAAATTGCCACATCACTTCTTAGGTTTACTGTCTAATAGAATACTAGCACAGACAGTCTCCTTTGAAAGATGGAAGTGCCTATTTTTTCAGTCACTAACTGTCCTTGAGACAAGATACCTTATAGCTGCAATTCTAAGTATATTCCATTCATTTCATTTTCTCTTTTTTTTTTTGAGACGGAGTCTCGCTCTGTCACCCACGCTGGAGTGCAGTGGCGCAATCTCGGCTCACTGCAAGCTCCGCCTCCTGGGTTCACGCCATTCTCCTGCCTCAGCCTCCCGAGTAGCTGGGACTACAGGAACCTGCCACCCCGCCTGGCTAATTTTTTGTATTTTTAGTAGAGATGGGTTTTCACCATGTTAGCCAGGATGGTCTCGATCTCCTGACCTCATGATCCGCCCACCTTGGCCTCCCAAAGTGCTGGGATTACAGGTGTGAGCCACCGTGCCCAGCCTCATTTCATTTTCAACAGGGTTAAAGGGTCATTTTCTGATCTTTAGTGACATCTCTATTAAAGATATCAACATGAAATTGAAGAATTGTGTGAATTACTGTTTTTCACTCTCTCAAATCCACAGGATCATCAAAATAAATACAAGCAAGGGATAACAGAGAACTGCAAATCTAGGAGATTCAATATTAAAATCAGAAGTCTATACAGTGCTAATAGTGAACACTGAACTCAGATCTTTTGTTTCTTCAATAAACAACTCCTAATGCCCATTTACATTTAAACAATTATACTAACATTTTATAATTGATTTGTATGTATCTATACACACATCCACATACAAAATAGAGTTACATGGTATATGTGTTTAACTTAAGTGAATTAGTCACTCAGTCAAAAAAATAAGTAAACACAGGGAAGCATTTAAAATACTATGAGAAATTATGCCCACCATTTAACTCAATAAATGTATGTCCCACAGTGAGCACAACATGGAAAAGACATAAATCTGCAATTGGTCTTGCATGATTTGTGTTGAGAATGCCTGATAGCACTGAGTGTCATTAGTACGTCAGTCAGTACACATTTACTGAGTGCCTATTATGTACAAGGTACTATTCTAGGCACTGGAAAAACAGGAATTAACAAAAATAGACAAGAATTCCTACCCTTATGAAACATACCTCCTACTGGGAAAGCCAGCAAAATACACAAAATAAGTAAAATGTATAATGTTAATGGGAATAATGTTTAACGAAAAAAAAAACGAAAGAGAAGGTAGACAGTCCAACTTTTAGAAAAAATAACCAAGGAAAGCCTCATTGAAAAGTGTCGTTTGAGTAAAGACCTAAATGAGCTGAGGCTACGAGACATGAGGATATCTGAGGAAAAAGCATTCTAGGTAGAAGCAACAGCAAGTACAAATGCACTGAGGCATGATGTACTTCGCAGGTTTAAGAAAGCAGAGTCGGGTAGAGCCAATATGTGGAATAAGGTTGGGGGAGGCTGTAGCAAGAAATGAGGGCAGAGTGGTACTGGAAGGCCAATCTATATAAGGCCTTGTAGGCAACTATAGGATCTTTGGCTTTTACTTGAATGAATTGGGAAGCTATTAAAGGGTTTTAAGCAGAGAAAAATTTTGTGATCTGACTTATATTTTAACTGGATCATTCTACCTGGTTTTTTTGTTTGTTTGGTTTTTGTTTTTGAGTAGAGTCTCCTTCTGTCACCCAGGCAGAGTGCAGTGGTGTGATCTTGACTCACTGGAACCTCTGCCTCCTGGGCTAAAGCAATTCTCCCACCTCAGTCTCCCAAGTAGTTGGGATTACAGGCACCCATCACAATGCTCAGCTAATTTTTATATTTTTAGTAGAGAGAGGGTTTCACCACGTTGGCCAGGCTGTTCTTGAACTCCTGACCTCAAGTTGATCCGTCTGCCTCAGCCTCCCAAAGTGCTGGGATTACAGGCATGAGCATGAGCCACCACACATGGCCTCATTCTACATTCTGTTGAGGACGGACCTTGGGTGGGACTGGGAGCAAAGCCAGAGGCAGGAAGACCAGTTAGGAGGGTACTGCAATATGGAGGTAAGAAGAGTTAGACTACTGCTACTGTTAGTAAGTAGCAGTGGAATTGGATAGAAGTACTCAGATTCTGGATATATTTTAAGGTAGGGATATAAACATGATTTACTGTTTAGATGGATGAATGGGGTGTGGAAGTGAATGTGGGGTGTGCAAGAAAGACAGAAGTCAAGAATAACTCCAAGGTCTCTCACTTGAACAAATGAAACAATAGAGGTACCATCTGTTGACACAGAGAAGACTGTAGGAAGAACACATTAAAGGAAGATTAGAAGCTACAATTTAGGTAGACATTTAGGCAGATGTAAGTGGAGATGTTGAGTCTGGATATATGAATCTTGTGTTCAGGGGTAAGATATAAATTTGGACATTTATCAGCTTGTACATGAAACTTAAAGCTTTAAAAGACTGGATGAGGCTAGGTGCGGTGGCTCACACCTCTAATTCCTGCACTTTGGGAGGCCAAGCCGGGCGGATCACTTTGAGCTCACGAATTCAAGACCAACCTGGGCAACAGGGCGAAACCCTGTCTCTACAAAAAACAAAAAATTAGCCAAGCTTGCTGGTGCATGGCTGTAGTCCCAGTTACTCAGGAGGCTGAGGCTGGAAAATTGCTTCAACCCAGGAGGTGGAGGATGCAGTGAGCTGTAATCGCACCACTGCACTCCAGCCTGGGCAACAGAGTGAGACCCTATCTCAAAAAAACAGAACAAAACAAAAAGACAGGATGAGGTCACCAAGGGAAGGTAAATAGGAAAAGGAGTAGTCCAGGGACCAAGCCCTTGAATCACTTTTTTCCTTCTACCCTACTTTCTATAATGGCTGTCTTGCCAAACCAACAGGTGAGAGGGCATTGAGTCCTAGTGGGGTTGAGAATGGGGAGTCCAGAACTTCTTGTTCCCGCTGCAACCTCTGTGCTCCTGACATGTCCCCATTCACATTTTTTTATATAATTTAAAAAACTGGCCAAGCACAGTGGCTAATGCCTATAATCTCAGCATTTGGGGAGGCCGAGGTGGGAGGATCACTTGAGGCCAGGAGTTTGAGACAAGTCTGGGCAACATAGCAAAACCTTGTCTTTATGAAAAATAAAAAAATTAGCTGGGTGTGGTGGTGTGCGCCTGTAGTCCCAGCTACTTGGGAGGTGGAGGTGGGAGGATCACTTGAGCCCAGAAGTTGGAAGATGCAGTAGGCTATGAATGTGCCACTGCACTCCAGCCTGGGTGACAAAGCAGGACACTGTCTCTTAAAAAAAAAGAGATAAAATTAATATAACATAAAATTCAACATTTTGGTTTTTAAAGGTTTTTTTGAGTCTCACTCTGTCACCCAGGCTGAGTGCAATGGCATGATCCTGGCTCACTGCAACCTCTGCCTCCTGCATTCAAGCAATTCTTATGCCTCTCTGCCTCCTGAAAAGCTGGGATTACAGACGTGTGCTACTATGACTGGCTAATTTTTTATATTTTAGTAGAGATGGTATTTCGCTATGCTGGCGAGGCTGATCTTGAACTCCTGGCCTCAAGTGATCTGCCTGCCTTGGCCTCCCAAAATGCTGCATTACAGACGTAAGCCACTGTATCCAGCCAAAATTCACCATTTTGAAATGTATATAACTCAGTAAATTTTAGTATATTCAGATGTTGTGCAACCATTACCACTAATTCCAGAATATTTTCATCAGCCCCAAAAAAACCCCTGTATTGGATCAATTTTCATATTTTAATAAAGTTGTTCTGTGAACTTTATTGAAGTATAATTTACATGCAACAAAATTCATCAGTTTTAAGTGTTATAATGTGATGAGTTATGACAAATGTATGTACTTAAGTAGCCACCACCACAGTCAGAATATAGAGTATTTCCATCATCTCCTGAAATACTCTTATATTTAGAGATGTGAAAGGCAGCAAAGGAAACTGAAAAAGAGAAGCCAGAAATGCAGGAAGATAAAAAGGAGACTTTGGGCTCTTGGAAGCCAACAGAAGAAAGTACTTCAAGGATGAAGGAATGACTAACTGTGTCAAATGCTAATGCTATTGTCAAATAACTAAGGTGAGGACTGAGAATTCACCATAGAATTCAGTAATATGGAATACTGGTGACCCTGACAAAAAGCAGCTACAGTGGAATGATAAGGGTGCAAGCTCAACTGAAATGGGTTCAAGAGGGAATGGGAGAAGAACATCTGGAGACAGCAAGAACAAACAACTCTTTTAAAAACATTTTCCTATAAAAGGAAGGAAGGGAGGGATAGTGACTGGAGGGGTGTTTGTATGCTACAAGGGCTGATACAATACAGAAGGAAAAAGTGCTGATGCATGAAAGAGCAGGGAGAAGTGTTAATCATACACTTAAGTTGGCAAGAAAGGAGATCAAGTGTACAAGAGGAGGGATTGGCTTTAGACAGAAGTAGGAACTGTTCATTCAAAGTGTAGAAGAGAAGGTGAAGAGTAAGGGCACAACGGATGCAGGTACATGGGAGCTTGTAGAAGCTCTCTTCTCATTGTTTCTCTTTTCTTGAATATTGGGAAGCAAGGTCTGACAATATCAGCTGAGTGGGGAGAGGGAAGTAGATGTTAGAGGTTTGAGGGGAGAGATGTGAAACCGTCATCCAGGAGGTTGGTAAGCTTGAATTTAAAGTAAGACCAGTCAACAGAATTGTTTTTTTCTCCATCAAAGTTGAGCTGGGCAGGTGCAGGCATGGAAGCAGAATGGAGAGAATTGGATTTAAACAAGGTTTCTGTAAAGGCACAGAGTAAGCAAAGAGAGAAGCAAGTTGAAGCAAGTTGAGAGAGAAAGTTGAAGGTGTAGAAAAGATGGTGATTATAATGATTAATCAAGGAGTTAACCCTGGAGTTTAAGCTAGATAGGAATGAAATGAGGTGTAAAGAGGGAGTGAAGAACAGAAGAAAGGTGGGAGGATCAATGAGTTCAACTCAATGGTCCTGATGATTTCAAAGGATTGTCAGACTAGAGAGAGAGCTGAAAAGAGGACGGAGGGGGTGGCAAAGAAAGAGATACTTGAAATTGAGATTATGGGGAATGAGAGGCTGGGCTAGGGTATAGGATAGAACCATTAGAAGAAAAGGAGTCAAGGATCCAAGAAGCCAGATTATGGGAAGGATCATCTATGTGGATATAGCAATCGCCAAGAATTATCACATGACTAGTAGTAATGGACAGAGTGACAATGTGCCAGGAACTAAAAGATGCAAAGAATGAGAGGGAGTGACCAAAGGATCAGGAAACACAAGGAGCAGTGAGGGTATAGCACAGTCTGATGACATGAGATTCAAAGATGGGATTTTTTCAGAGAGAAGGGAGAGGTGTCCGGAAGCAGCAAGGAGGGTAAAGAGGACAATATTCCCCTTCCAGGCTCAGTGGTACAAAAGAAAGACAGAAATCAGTCAGTACTCCAGAGGGCTACGGGGGAAGCAATATCTTTAGAGGAGAGACAGATCTCAAGGTGAACAAGGAGGTTGGAGTAGAAGATGAGGAGGTAAGGGATTTTGTTGATGATTGACCATAAATCCTGGAAGCCACAATGAAATAGTTTAAAGATAGATATTTTTGGTTTAGCATGTCTCACACTAAATGCATACTTACTATTTCATCTAGTGCTCAACCAAAGAAACAGCAACCTGTTTTATAGTTGGAAGAAAAACCAGGTGAACATATTGAGAAATAATTTGTCTCTAATATGGTGTCTTAAGGAATTTTCATAAATAATTTTGTTTATATTTAATTTTTACCATAAGTGGTGATTTTTGAACTTAAACCTCTACCTTTCCCCTACCTATCCACACATGTAGCATAACCATATAGCACTTTGAAATATTGTATGTTCTTAGTGTGTACCTTGTAAGGATCCTCAGGATCTACCCAGGCCACATGAAACATATGACGAATTTCTTCTGCCAGTCCGATTCTTGCTCCACTGTTGGCTGATACATAGATGCGTGGAATACCTTCTGCCCTGGCAAGTTCAGAAGCTCTGAGAAATAACCAATCCTCTTGAGGCCCAAAGGACCCAATTCGGTATGTGATGTCATTGCCAATAACAATGATATCTCGGCCTTCTGGATATTCAGGACTTTTAAAGGTCATTTTCCAAGCTACCATGCCAATCTGGAAAGGCATAAACAAACGAATGAACAGAAGTTTTTTACATGCAGAATTTTTTCCAGGTTCCTTGAAGGTATCAGAGTATACCTAGGCACAGCCATTATGTAAAGATACACATTGCTAAAGAGCCACACTCCCTGTGGGAAACTAAAAAGACATTCTAATATGCTGCTAGATTATGCTGAGAACAGCTGATCTACTGTGTATTTCAAAACTGTCTCAATTCCTTCTTTGGGCCTGCTCAAAGAAGGCAGAAAAGCCAAAATCTAAATGCACTCAGGATACATGTGTAAGAATGCCATGGCACTGTTGATTAATTTCTCATTTTACTGCCATATATACTAAGACACTGATATGGTTTGGATGTCTGTCCTCTCTAAATCTCATGTTGAGATATGATCCCTAACGTTAGAAATGGGGCCTGGTGTGAGGTGTTTGGGTCATGGGGTGGATCCCTCATGAATAGCTTGGTGCTCCCCTCTGATCTGAGTTCATGCTAGATCTGGCTGTTTGAAAGAGTGTGGCCTTTTGCGGGTGAAAGCAAGCATGTAGAGAGTGCTATGAACGCCTTGGGCACACTACGAGAGTACAAGGTGGTGGGTTGCTGCCTGCCCATCCCCAAATGCCACATGCTGCCCTTCTGTGGTATGTGAATCTTTGCACCTAATCATGTCATTGCCAAGTCCCGCCTCTGGTACTTGGTATCTCAGCAAAAGAAGATAAGAAGTCTTCAGGGAAAATTGTCTACTGTAGGTAGGTGTTTGAGAAATCCCCCCTGCAGGTGAAGAAATCTGGCATCTAGCTGCACTACGACTCCTGTAGCAGCACCCACAACATGTACTGGATACCAGGACTTGACCACCATGGGTGCTGTCATCCAGTGCTAGTGAGACATGGGCACCTGGCATCACACACAGGCCCACTCCACCCAGATCATGAAGGTGGAAACTGCGGTCAGCAAGTGCTGCCAGCTGGCGGTCAAACAGTTCCATGACTCTGAGATCAAGTTCCCATTGCCCCACGGGATCCTGCATGGTTAGCATAAGCCATACTTCACCACCAAGAGGCCCAACACCTTCTTCTAGGTGCAGGGCCCTCTCACCCAGGGGTGACTCAAATTAACTCAAGAATGTCATGGTGCCAAAAAAAAAAAAAGAGTGTGGCACCTTGCCCCCCACCTCTCTCTTGCTCCCTCTCTCACCATGTAATGGCTGGGTCCCCCTTCACCTTCCTCCAAAATCATAAGCTTCCTGAGACCCTTACCAGAAGCCCAACAGATGCAGTTGCCATGCTTATAGAGCCTGCAGAACCATGAGCCAAATTAACCTCTTTTCTTGATAAATTATCCAGCCACAGGTATTCCTTTATAGCAACACAAATGGACTAACACAGACACTATCTCCATCTTTTGTGACATTTGTTCCAAGAAATCTTCAACACACAAGGAAGCAGAAAAAGAATCACTTCTCATGGACTGTACACTTTTCATGATCCAGGCTCCTTGTACTGTCCTCTAGCATTTGATAGGAATAACAGAAACACTCCTTACTGGTTTGTTTCAGGTACGTTCCATTTCTGCAAGAATTTACTAATGCTCAACATTGCATCCTTGTGAGCATCTCTTGCTTTCTCCCAGCACCAGAAAACCAAAGGATGGAAAGAACTAATCTCTTGATGCACTATATGTAAATCTCTGCTCTCTGTTCAGCAGCATATGGCCAGCGACATAAATAAATGATATTGACTTAAAAGGCAGAGGTGACATGTCTCTTCCCACACTCTCATAGCCCTCTCCTGTTTTAATCCCCTTCGATATGAGAACTAGTCAATCCTTCTACTTGTATATTTGCTAGTTCCATTTCTTTTCTATTCTATTCACTCATACTCTAGTTACAGCTGTAGTTTTTCATGTCTGCCTGTTTCCCCTATACCTGGATAAGTAATGTTTTCCATTCATTTTTCCCCCTTTCTTTCTGTCTCTTGCCCCCCTCCTTGCCCCCACCACTCGCCACCAAACACAAAGCCTACCTACCAGATGAGCATCCCTGGTTCTGCCTAATGGAGCCCAGCCACATCTGCAGCCTTGGTCCCTCATCCCCAGGCTGCTGCATATCACCTCATTGGGGAGCTGGCCATCAAGAAGGGCCATTAACAGATGTAAATAGCAGCATCCCTGGAAAGCCACATGCATCACCCAGACTCAACCGGGCCAGTGATCATAAGCTCTGAGTACACATTTCTCAATCCAATTGCACATCCACTGTAATCAGGCTGGTTGAAGCATTCTACACAGCTATTTGTGATTCTCAGCATTAGGAAATATATATATGAAACACCCACAGATAAATATAAGCTATTTAATATATCACACCATTGGCCAAATACAAATCAAAATGGATATAACACAAAGAAAAAAATCCAATCACTTTCTAAGATAAGGTATTACTCCATCTACTCATTAAAGACAGAGAAAGGAAGGAAAAATAGATCATTCAAAAAATAGCACAGCGAACACTCAAATTTCAGGATAATTTTGGTTATGGTTTCTAAGAAGCTAGTTAATATAATCCCTGTACAAGCAGAAATATTTTATCTGCCTTCGCACATGCCCCCTTAACCCCAAATCTTTTGTTTTTCAGGAAGGAAAAGCTATTTCCTGTCAATTTACCTCTAAATGCATTTGTAGTTAGAAAGATTGGGTTTTACACCAAATTTTATGATATATTAACCTTAGCCACATAGGCCAGAAGCAGATTAGATACAAGCCCTGAAGAATCTACTTCAGCATTTGTGTGCTAATGTAAACATTGTGACCATGTGGCACTGGGCAGGCAAATAATACTCTTATCTTTCATTACTACCTGGGGACTCTAACTGTGTCACTTGGGCAGTGAGTTCAGCAATTGGCTAGGTCATTATGCTTGCAATATTGACTTCTAATTAGGTGTCAACACAGCAGCACCAAGAACACAATACTCTTTATCAATGTCTTTCCAAAGAGTGTTGCTCATCGACCGACCCCTCCTCCTGTCTTAAAAAGTACCATTACAGAATAGAGAGTGTTATTCCAGTCTTAGTGCAGCAAGATTCCTGATTGGAAGACATTCAGTTCTGAGGTAGCATGATGGACAAACATCTAAGGAAGCATTTATTATTCAATTTACATTAAAATTTAGATTTCACTGCTAATCAAAGGATAGGGCATATAAAGGTGAACATGGGCTTTAGAGTCCAACAAACTTAGATCCAAATCCAGGTGCTATCATTTATATTAACTAACTGTGTGATCTTAAGAAAATTAATTTAATTTTACTGAGCTTCAATGTCCCCACATGCGAAATTAAGA